AAAACTTTATAGGCTTATCAATTTTAGACTCTCCTGAAGTTTTCAAATCCTTTTGCCAATGTAGCTAACTATCCTAGCTGTAAAATCAGGAATAGTTGTTACATTTGCAGTACTTAATGCAGATCTATGTAAATTGCTAGAGGAGGGAGCAGAGAACAGTTTCATCTTAAAATATAATTTGGACTGTTCTCATCTTTTTCTTCTAAAGGCTGTTTTGATAATTTGTTGCCACCTCCCAGTTTTCAAACATTTGAAGTCTCTCAAAAAAGTTCTGATACTTTTAAAGATAAGGATCAAGTTTTATGTATTTTTGTCTCTTAGTTCTCAAGCTTTTGACTTTCAGGTTTGCAAACTTCTTCCCCTATCAAAGGGCTTTAACACTTTTTCCTTTTTTTTAATTTCTAAATGAAAATTGACTTTCTTGTTTGATAATGTGACTGAAGGAGCCAAGACTTTTAAGAAAAATGCCAAATACCTATGGGAATTTGCAACTTTATTATTAATAATGGGCGCCTCTCACTCCTCTTCAAGCCTCCTGAGAGTTTGATGTTTCATCTAAATCCACCCAGATTCTTGTGATCTTTAAAGGTGGGGAGACAGTGGAAAAGTACTTCCTTGGGAGAAGAACTGATTACAGAGCTGATTCCAGTTTCTAGTTCGAACCTCTTTAAACATCAAATGTTTTCAAGTCTAAGGTTTGGGTGCTTGCAATCTTGTTTTTTTCCCCCACTCCTTTTTTCTTTGCTCTTAGACTGAAGAATTTGATTTAAGATTATATGCCTGAAAAAATAAAGCATTTAATTTACATTTTACAAGGCAGTTATTGCAAGTTAATTAAATATCAATTGAGTGTTATAGGCCATATTAAGATTTATTAATAATCCAGCAGATAAATCTCCTCGGAATTCAATTAAACGAAAATCACATAAAAATATATGTGCAATTTTATTCATACAATGCATAAAACTTGTGAATTACAGTGCAGCTTTGTGCAGTAAGTTGATGAATGGGAATTAATTGCTGAAATAGAGGGGAAAAAAATCAATTTAAACTTCCTGTAGCAGACATAAGCATGGTAAACTTCTCCCAGATGCTGAGTTTGTGGCTGCTGTGTGGCTGGTAAGATCTCTGGGAATGGGGAAGGCTCAGTCGAGGGCTTTGGGAGTGTTTGTAGCGATGGGCATCAATGACTTTTGCTTCTTTAGATCTCTCGTTTGTAGGAGGGACGGTGACAGTGACGCTGCCAGCCGGGCTGTCTGCAAACTCAGGAGCACGTGGGCGTGTTGGGCTTTAACCGGGATTAGCGAGTGGATCTCAGCCCATTTGGGGGGAAAAGCAAAGCTTCCGACGTCGGAGATGAGGTTCAGGAGACGGACTTGGAAAATATCTTTCCAATATTTGCAGACCAATGGAGGCCTGGCGTGCTGCCATCTGTTCCCCGCACATCCTGTGTTAAATACTGTCAATATGAGATTATGTTCCAATTACAGTACCAGACTGACTGGTTTAACTCCTACCATGAATCTATTTTCCTTTATTACTATGCACTGACTCTGTGACTGATGTACCAGACACCAAAAGAGATGGTCTCTGCCTGGAGGGCTTTGTCTAAAAGAAACGTGCCGGGAGGAGACAGAACCCAGCAGAAAACGCAGACGAATGAGTAACTCGGTTGAGATTTTCTTTTTTAATTTGGGGATTCTTTGCTGGGTTGTGTGTTTGGCTTGAGTTTTAATATTACTAAACTCGCTTCCTTCAGACATTGCACAAGAACAGAGACTTCCCCAGAAACTCGAACAGGGTTAGGCATGTGGCTCTTTGAAGTGTGTGTGTGTGTGTGTGTTTGGGGGGGGTGGTGAACGCTCAGTGCACACGTGGGAACGCTGGAGGATGGAAAGCGAAGGGAGAATCACACTCTGACTCGGGCAACGACTCCGGCAGACGGCACGGCTCGTGCTGGGGAGGTTTAAAATATCTCAGGTGTCTTTGTGTCAATGCACTTCTTGCTCATCCTCCCTGCTCCTCCAGTAGAGAACGCACGCATCTGTCTCCTCTGTGCTTCATCTCTGCTTCTCCCTGCAATAGTTGTCAGGGATATTAGCATTAAATACTTACTGCCTGGCTTAACTAAGGGGTAAGATAGGATTTAATTTGTATGGCTGAAATCCAATTATATAATGGAGCCCCTGGGGGAAGCAGTTATACCTGCTGAATCTCTTGGATGAGTAATTGTGCACAAAGGCTCCTCTCCAGAAGTAGAAACAGATCTGAAATATTTTTCTTTTTTCTCTCTGTCTCTTTTTTTTGTTGTTTCCCTTTTGCTGCTGCTGTTACATAATAGGGCTGAGACCCTGAAAAGAAAAGCCAATGACAACCCAGTGCAGTAGAAAGAATTAAAGCATTGCCAGGAGAAAACAGGTTATAATCTGATAAAATCAAGTACCTAAGAGGAAGTCTGCAGCAGCGCTAGCTTGGAGGAGCCAAAATGCAGGGCAGCCAAAGGAAGCTTACTCATCTTTTTAGAAAATAGCACAGAGGCTTTGCTGTCTGACTTCCCTCCCCTTCTACCATGTGCAGGGAAAGGGAATCCTCTACTTGCTTTTGTCAAAGCTCGAGAGGTGGGTAGTTGTAAAAAAAAACAAGCAGCCAACTAATTCCCATACTTCTGAACGAGCCTCCACTTAACTACCTTTACAAATCCCTGCTCCTTATCCTGCATGTCATCTGCATCCTGATAATCAACAAAATCATAAGTGACGGTGAGCAGGACAGCAACAAAAGCATGACGAGGTTCCCAGGATGGTTTCGGAAAGCAGGCAAGCTTATAAAGCATCAATCTCCAGGTTCCTCTTGGGCCTTGACAAGTGTGCCGATACCCTCAGCACCTCCAAACCCCGCAAAGGAGGATACCAAGGGACTGAACGCAACAGCTATTGTGCTCAGACAAGGTTTCTCAAAGGGCAGAGAGCCATATCTAATTCTATTTGTAAAAAGAGAAAGAAAACTTTATTATTTTCTAACGAGTTCCAAGTGGAAAAAATTATTTCCTTGGTCTTGGCGGTTCCGTGAGTACCCGAAAATGAACCGATGCATGCAGCAAGCCGGGTGAAACCCAGCACCCCCAGTGCCCCGGACTGGGACAATCCGGGTGGGCAGAGCCCGTCCCTCAGTCTCCTTGTCCGTCTTTCAATTCTGTGGAAAAAAGGGCTAAAGCAAAGCTTGTGCCCCGCTCTCGGTCAGGGTGGGAAGAGACCAGTCGCACAGACCGGCAGCTCCACCCAGCGGCCCATTTTTTAACCCCTTTTTCTTCCTACTATTTTTTTTTCCTTTTTTTCCCCCTTTTTATTTTTTTCCCTTTTTTTTCTTTTTTTGGCAATATAAAAACCAAACCACATTAAAACTGGTCAACATGATAGCGCTGCGGCAATGATCTGGTCACACGTGTGAAGAATTGGGTGTATGCTTATTTCTTTGTCAAATCTCAGCAAGCTGTCACCTACCATTTGAATAACGGCAAAGAACTGCTACGAGAACTCAGGGTGAAACAGAAAATGCAGCAATCTTCTTACTCCATTTCTTAAATACCTCCCACAATGGTAGTAGAAAAAAAAAATAGGGAACTGATAAATTACACACTTTGCCTTCCCAAATTCTTCATGAATAGATTGTAGTGGCTTTCCCCGAATTTATTTGTTATATGAAATGATTAATGAATTATCGGAGCAAATGATTTTTGATTTATAAGCTCATTAATAAGCTGATTTATAAGTGAACATGAACTTCGGTGAAGATACCTTGGCAGCTCACATCATACTGCTTCACCTTCCTTCTTGGGTAATTCCTGTGACTAACAAGGAATGAATTTTGATCATTTCTATGCTGAAACTTGCTTTTTCCAGCAGTATTAGGGCACTTGTAATTAAAATCAGCTTTTATTTGTGCATGTGCACATTTTTACTGTTGGAAAACGCGAGTGACGGGTACATAATCACAGAACACAGGAATGTGATACCAACAGAATTATTTTAACACTTGAGCCAGTACTTGAACCAGGAATAAAAATATTCCTCCAAGCTCAAGGGAAAACTGAAATCTCTGCTGTGCTCAGTGTAGGTTTACCTGTGCATCTTAAAAAGAGAGGAGCTGATGAAGAGATACAAACCACAACTTTTGTTGTGAATCTTCTGGAAGCGCCTGCCCTGTCCGTGTTAGGAAACTATCATCTGTGAAATACTGCCCCTGGATGGACCGTGGAGCCCCGGTGCCATGGAACGAGTGGAAATGACCTCTCCCTTCTGAAATGCAGACATTATTTTGCATAAACACGGCCCCAAAGGCTTGCACTTCAGGTTGCTGTTTGCCACTGCAGCAGCCAAACATGGGCTTTGTTTTGCTGTGAGGTAAGAGATTTTGGGTTACAAACTGTATGAAACCCAGCTCTAAGCTTGTAGACATCACTTATCCATCCACCTGGTTAGAAAAATAAGTCAGTCGATACATTATTAGCACAGGAGATTGCAAGTTTCCTTTTATAGAGACAATATTTTAACAGAAATGTAATATTCCACACGTTAAGAATAACAGGAAGCATCTTGAGACAGATAGCTCTGGAAAAGGGAATTTTATTAAGCCCTAAAACAGAGGAAAGAACTTGCTGGGCTTTCCTTGTCTACCCCAAAAAAATCACTGAAGACCTCTTGAGTGCAGTGAGCCAGGTACAGCCATCCCACCGACTGCCCGAGACCGTGGCAAGGGAGAGCTCCGTCTACTGGGTATGGAAAGAGGTGAAGGCTCATCAGGCTGTGCAACAAACCTCGTTAGCTAATTTTAATCCAACAGGTGCTTGCTGTGCACCATCCTTCACCCCAACCTGTCTCTTTGCTCCGGCGAGGGGTCCCCATGCGGTGGTGGCACGGCGGGAATGAGGGAGGCCAGCAAGCACCATGTCTGCGTGCACGGAGATGGTGTGATGAGCTCTCTCCTTACCCCAGATATGCTCCTTAGTTCTTCTTTTCATGAGGTTGAGGGGGCTCCAGGTTCCTGACAGCTGCTTTCAAGCCCTGTGCAGTTCTGCGCTTGCTCTCTTCCCAGGGGAAGAGGGGTTTGTACCCGAAATGCCTCGAGGCTTTGTCTGTCTCGTAGGAGAAGGTGGTGACTATCGTGTTGAGCAAAGGCAAGTTTAGGAAAGGCCGTGGCTTCCAGAAAGGGTACAGGATGACCGTGATAAACCTGTGCAGTTGTATCACCAGCCACATCTTCCAGTAAGGGATGTGTGAGCCTAGTGTCACTGCTGGGTCCATAGAGGACAACAGCTGATACCTGACCAGAAAACCTTTCCTTGCTGGAGTGTCATCATAGCAATAATACACTTGGCCTGCCAGCAAGTCTGGTTTCAGCTGCAAGTTCCTTGCCGCAAGAACGTGCATCCACGCAACATTCCCTGGAGAAATAAGAGGGGGAGAGAAACAGGTGTTGAGGAGGAGCTAAATTTTCCTGTTTGCTATGGAATGAGTACCTTGGATTTGCTGGCTTCAGCGCTGAGAAGCGGGAAAAGCACTTCTCACGTTCCTCAGCTGTACTCTAGAGAGGCTGAGTAGTTAATCCAAACCGCCAAGATCCCGTAAACCTTTGGTCTCCCCTTTGAGCCGGACAATTAATGTGCCTTGTGATGCTGGTTCATGTGAAGCGAAAGGGCAGTGTTTTTGTAGGGGGATGAATGGGAGGCAGCGCTCAGGGGCTTTGTTCCTGGCTCTGCTGTGAGCTTTTGAAGGAGTCACTTGATTTATCTAGGCCTGATTCTTCCCTAACAGCATTTTCAAACCACTGTTATCTGCACTTTCGGGAAAAGACATATAGACGTGCTGCACAGAAATAACTAAAACCCCGCATGATTTAATGGTGAGTTATGCTCCCTTGAAATGCATTCAGCACAACAAACTCTTTCTGTAGATTTTGTGAGCAGTTGCTTGTGCTTGCTGAAATCAGTTACGTAGTACAGCCTTTTTGCAAGGAATTTTATGAGTAGTGTTAGTTCCATTTCTTCTAATGAAGAGGATATTGTCTTTTCAAACCAAGGATGTTTTAAAAATACTGCCTGAATTTCTCCCTGTCCCCCAATATACCCCTTGAAATGTTTACTCTATCCTCTTTTCCAATGACTTTTTTTTTTCCCATTTTCTAAGCAAATTTTCCCTATGTTGAGAGGAGGAAAAAAACCAGTAGGAAAAAAACCCAACAGAATTTAAACAACTGTTATAAAAATTCTTTTCATCCATCTAACTTTCCTGGCTATAAAACTATTTGTGCTCATTCCCCATTTTTACGTCTCTGTCTTGGAAAGATGATGGTCAGTCCGATTTGTGACTAAAGAAGCCCAGTAGCACCGCATGCAAAGAGATCAAGCATTCGCTCACCCACGTAGGTGTAATTACGCTCCGTGTTTTCAGGCTCCAGGTAGTTCAACACCCCATTCCTGGCCTTGGCAAGCATGTACAACTCTTGAAGAAACGTTGCTTTCTCCCCATACACGGTGTTCGCACGGATGACGCAAGTTGTGAGTTTACCGCCGTTGCTCAGCTGTAAAATTGGGGAGGGGTGTTAGTGAGTGATGGATTCAGAGATGAAATCTTCAGCGGTGATGTTGGGTTTGCCAGGTAAACCCAAAACCTGGGCATAATTGTGCTACAGGAGTCAACATTTGGAGACATGCTCCGGACACTTAGGGGCTGATTTGAATCCCTAAAAGTGCAAAGAGCTGCTCAGTTTGATTTATTCCTTTTTATTTTTTATTTTTTTTCCTAGCACACCTGCACCAGTGTGGTGCTCGCTGGGAGGTGTTGGGTGGAGGGTGCTAGTGGCATTAACTCCTCTGCAGCTGTGATGTGTAAAGGAGTATCTGCGACAACCAAAACCAGGTATCAGGGGATGCCGGCTAAGCTGACGGGCTTCACACTGTAATTGGGAGAGAGGGATGCTCCAGGCAGTGATTTAGGACACAAGTCTCATTTTTGTATTCTGTTTGATTTAGGACACAAGTCTCATCTTTACATTCTGTTTCATCCTCTAGAAGAACTGATCTGCCTGCTGACCGTACTGGGAGTCTTCAAAGACAAGGCAGCTAACTTAGGTAGGTGGATGTCTCTGTGTACACTAATATTTTTGATTCTTAAATCACTCGGGCACATCTGAAATTTACACCTTTGTGCAGTATGAACTCGATGAACCTGGTTTCTTAGGCCCTGATTTAACACAGCTCATTCCTGCAGTGAAAGCAGAGGCTCCAAGGGCAGCATCCCTGGATCTTGCGAGGGTTTGGCAGCACCCTGGGGATGCGGGAATCAGGCTTTGGAAGCTCAGGCCAACGTGGTTTGGGCATCGGGTCAAGGCAGTGGTTGGATACACCAACCGCTTTGGGGTCTTTCTAACCATCTCTCTCCTTCTGTGATGCCAGGGGTGCCACCACTGTCTTTTGTACCTTTTTTCCATTGGCTTCAAGTACAAGTTTTTCTGCCATGGCCTTTGTCTTCCCATAAGGCAGCTCCACTTCCCCGCTGTATTTAGTGTCCTCGTTTCCTCTGAAATAGATCATGAGGTACAGTGAGTGACCGTGGGGTAGAGCGTGAGGCTTGGAGATGTTTGTCACGATGTGATGTCCTCTGCAGTCCCTGCCCTCCAGGGACTTAGCACGGGCTGTGAGTTACAGGAATCTGAGATCCTTGCTACAGTTTGGGAGAAATGAGACCTCAAGAAATACCGGGAGGTTCTAGGTCTTCACAGGCAGGTTTGCACGAGGGTAGTGGTTTGGTTTCCGAGAGCTGGATTTGGTTTTGTCTAATAGTGAGATTGAACCAAATAATATTATAATAATAATATAGGCAAACTGGAAAGCACTGGAGTTACCTTTTTAAGCAACTCGCAAGTGGCTGAACAAGGTGGAAAGAGCACAAGAAAACACAGGGCAGGAAAATGGGAGTAATCCTACTATGTTTTTTTGTTAGAGGTAGACAAAAGCGTCTCATGAGCCGCAGACTAAAAGGAGAAGCCGCTGCTTAATTTTCTCAGCAGAGCTGATTAGAGTTGGGAGACATTTGTTGGTGGTGGGATAAGGCTGCTGGCGATCTCCTGGAGGGCACGGAACCAGCGGGTATGTGCTGGGATAATTCCTTCATCTCCCCCAGCAAATTACACTCAAGGAGATGAGCAAAGAATTGGACCCATGATTAAGGGCAAGCAGGGCTTGCAGCCGGGCTGGGGACACTTGGTTGTCACTATGGAAGAGAACCTGCTCCTCAGCCTCCTGAATTGCAACTGCAAGAAGGAAAGCCCACAGCATCTAACATGTAACCAGCCTCACAGGCCCTCAACTCATTCCAAGGAGAACCAAGAAAGCAGCTCTGTTCCCCACCAAGGCGCTAGTGTTTTGTCCAGATGAACACCAGCCCATTGCAGGGTTCAGTTAAGTAGGTTCCGTGGACTCAGGAGGAGCTGGGGAGCGAAGAAACTTTCTCTGAATCGTTGGGAAGGACCGTCCATGAATATCATGCAGCCACTTGCTCCCCTGCTGCCATGACTAGCACGGATAGGCTCTGCATCCCTCCGTCCTTCACATTTTTATCATAGAATTATCATAGAATGGCCTAGACTGGAAGGGACCTTAGAGATCATTTTAATCCAGCCTCTCTATTGCCAGGGACATCACCTCTTGACTAGATCGGGCAACACATGGGGACTGAACGGGAATCGAACCCGTGACCTTGACATTGTTAGCACCACACTCAACTTACTGAGCTAACCAGCACCCTTAAATCACTTTCCTCTATATTTTGCTCTCCCAGAGAAGTTCACCCTAGGCAAACACCAGGCTTGGGGTAACCCCCACAGCGCAATGAAGCTCAAAGAGAAGAGGGTGTAGTGAGGCGGGGGTTGGTCTGTTCTCCCCAGTGGAGAGTGACAGGACAAGGGGAAATGGATCTAAATTGCACCAGGGGAGGTTCAGGTTGGATATTAGGAAGAATTTCTACACTGAAAGGGCTGTCAGCCATTGAACAGGCTGCCCAGGGAGGGGGTTGAGTCAATGTCCCTGGAGGTGTTTACAGGAAGGGTGTTTTTTTTGTGTTGGGGGAATCGTTTAGTGGGTTGATAGGGCTGGGACAAAGGGTGGACTCGATGATCTTCTAAGTCTCTTCCAGCTGGTACAGTTCTACAATTCTATGATTCTGTGATTCCTTTTGCCAATGGGGCTGGGCTGCAGCTCCTGGAAGGGTTAAGCAGCCCGTGACGAGCTCATGTAGCAGATCTGCAGCAGAGGACTTCTTGTCTAACGCGGGGCCTCGGGAGAGCAGGCTCTGACTCAGGCTCCCGGTTTGACCTTGGGCAACTTGCTTACTCCTCTCCCTGCTCAGATCTCCACGTGTAAAACATGGATAATGCTGTTGCCTTTCTCTTGCCTGTTTGGCAGCCTGGTATCTCGTGTGTCAGATATCCCGGCTGAGATCAGGGCCAACTCATGCTACAGCAAAGGAGATAAATCAGGAGCATCAGAAACGCAGGCTCCTCGCACACCCTGGGCTTTTATCACAAAACTCTCCTCCCTTTCCCCATGTTTACGAGTGATGAGCAAGGGACAAACCAGAAAACAAGCAAGACAAAAGATTGATTGTGCATGGTTTGTTAAAAGCCTGGGAGAGGCCCGAAAAAATTCAGGGGGTTATCTAAAAGTTCTAGATTTAATTGCTTGCTTTTTTTTTTTTTTTAAATCCAAATTTATTTTTTGCCTTTTGCAAAGCTTTTTAAAAGCAGCAGCTTCACAAAGGGGCAAACCTGCCTGCTGCTCCTGGGCTGCAGAGCTCTGCTCGTGTCTGCCTTCCCCCACCCCTTCTGAAGCTCGGTAGTAACAAAGAGCTCAGCATAATGCTCTGGCTTTTCAAAACGATCACAGATAACCGAACGCTAATAAGACTGGAGCAGCATTGTCAGAAGGTATCTCAGCAGTGGCTGTCTCAAAGGGATTGAGACTGACAGAGGCATTTTCTATTATTGTCGGATGCTGAGGTGTGAGCATTATCCCCGCACCCATCACCCTGTCCGGAGACTAATCATGCTTTGTCTGTGTCAATTCCCAAGCACGTAAAAGTGAGTTAAATAAAATTATACGAGGAATGATGGATAAGGGGGAACGGAGAAAAAGAGAAAGGCAGGCAGGATCATGGACTGCACGGGAGAAGAGCAGAACAGATTGGGTGGGGATAGGGGGAGATGAGAGGAGGAGGAGGAAGGGGAAAGCTCGTCACCTGTGCTTTCAGTCTGGAAAGCAGAGCCATGTTACATTATCTTGTAGTTGTCGCTGGGCTCCCTGCTGAGACAGGGGGTGTAATTTTTGACTGAGGGGGCTGAGCCTTCTCTGATTTTGCATTATGTAATTCCCTTAGTTTAAATTCAAAATCACTGGAGACTGAGGACCACTCTCTCAGGCTTTCTCCCAGCATCACGGGAGAACCTGTGTGGGTTCTGCAAAACGAGTTAAAGACTCTAAGTGGTGGGTTTATTCGCATTTGTTGTGGGCAGGGGCTGCTGGGAGTTGATGCGCAGAGGATGTTCATGTGTAGTTCTATGAGCATCAGCCTTGATGGGTTTTTGCTTGCACTCTTTGGTGCCATCATTGCAAGCTGAAAGACAGTCCTCGCAAGCAAGATTTGGGGTAGGATTTTTCAAGACATTTATTCACATCTATCTCTTAAGTCACAGGACTGAAATACTTACAAGGCTGCACCTGTATTAACATTCATTTTTAGAAATTATTTAGATACACTAGGGACACAGAGCCTCTAGTGCCCATGGCCCCAAGTGGATTGAGGTTTGTTGCTCTCATGGATATTTTTTTCATAAGCCAGACATCCATTCTACAGATTTGAGTGCTTAAACACTTTTCAAAACAACTTGATGATGCCTTAGCTTACTTGTAAGTATGAAATTTAAGCTTGTAAGTAAATTTAAGTTATGTCCTAAGTAGACTTTCGTAGCTGGGCTCAGATTTCTAGAGCCAAATGACTGAAGCCAGCTGTGCCTAGACTCGCTGCCTATGGAGATAGAACTTGACGTTGAGCCAGTTCCCCCTGCACACAAGTTTCCACGGTTTGAGCAGGCTGTATGGCTACAACCATGCTGGAAATCAGGGAAGTGTGTCTTCCAATGGTACATGTCAGACCGCAGCTGTCGCTACTTGACTTCGAATTGAACCTAAAACTTCAGCTCCTGGTCTTCAGAAGTATCAGCCCTGCTCTCAGCATGCAAGTACTTGTGTCCCAGGAATACAAAAGCTACCCAGCTGCTGAGTGCTGAGCAGGAGCCGATGGTGGAAGTCAGTTCCAGGTATCAAATATATATAAGCAAAAAAACCCCAAATTGTAATTTTGACCACTGTCTTTATATTGCTCCAAATCCCACCTTTGCTGCAGGAGCTGCTGCTTCTTCTGCCTCTGTGGGTCGGTCCCACAGGAGCCACATACCAAACAGATGCGTTGAGCATAATGTCCAAAAGGTAAAGTCCAGGACTTAGCCCTTGTAACCATATTGCAGGGAAAAAGGATTTTGAGGGATAGAAGGGTGCAATTACAGTCAGACCCAGGTTACAGAAGGTCACAGAAGAGTGTAAATACATGTGAATACTGCAGGACAACTTCACACCCAATGTGTCTGTCCCCTAAGACTGTGTGGCCAACTAACTGTCTTCTGAGACAGGGCTAAAATAGTATATTTGACCACTACAGGCTTGTTAACAATTCACTATGGGGCTGAAAAAGAGAAGGGAGAATGGGTTGGTAAAAGTAGAGCATCACCTGCCGTTTAGATTGACTCAGTGTGAGCGGAGGACGAAAACTGACCCAAGAGCAGGATACAGCTGGACTGCATCACAAACGTCAAGTGCCTGAGACCTTGTTTGAAACTGATTTTAGGGCTTAGAGGAGCACTGCTGTACATAAGGGAGACAGCCTGGAGGTGCTGTTGGGTCCTACATGCCGCAGCCAACTCTTTCATATCATTGGTGCCCAGCACTGGTCAAGTTTAGGCTGGGAGGATATGTTGTTCCTGGAAGTGAAGAGCATTGAAGAAGGATTTTCAAGAAAGAGAAGGGGAGTAGACAGAAAGGGGAGGATGTCTTCTCCTTCTCCATCTGGTTCCAGTTTCATTACTGTTCAACCAGAAATCCAGAATGGTGGAGAGGTCTTGCTTAGCCTTACCTGAACATGGGCTCATGGGCTGTGTTGGGTCCCACCGCAGCAATAGAGCTTGTGTAGACCACAAAGGGGATGTTCAGGACACAGCAGGCCCTTAACACATTTTCAGTACCTGTGGGACAGATTGGGAAGGAGGAACATTAACCACCTTGCCTCAATTCCTGTTGTGCAAATCAAAAGTGCTTTCCAGGTTTGGGAGTCTGCCGTGGAACAGACCCATCTTCTTTATGGTGGTTGTAAAGATGTAAAGACACAGGTCAAGGCTACAGTTCCTCACACATGCTTGCGCGGGAATAGATGGTTTATAACTTGAGAGTAGCAGTTAGAGCTACAGCTATAATTTGCCTTAACCTTTATGGCTATTGACAACTGCCTTAACTTGGACTTAGTAGTTGCTAACAAAAAGGAAGCTGGCAGCTTGGCAGAGCAAAACTCCATATTGTCCATCTTTTTTGATTCATGGGCAGACTGTCCAATGGTGAATTACAGCCTCCTGGCAAAAGGAATGGTGCTTGAGTTGCATATATTGCTCTGCACAATTTCTACAGGACAACTGTAGGGTGAAACCCATCACAACAGCCTCTTGACAGCTGCAGAATTTTTAAACGAAACAGCCGGGGCAACTTGCGAGCCCACGTGAAACCCAGATGAATCTGAAGCGTGGTTTCATTTAAGAAAGGTTGTTCTGGCTGTGCTTGTGGGTCAACATGGTTTTTGTTTGGCTGTTTTCTGGGGTTTGGAGGTAAGGGGTCGGTTTAAATGATTTGCGACTCTTCCAGGGGTGTTTTTTGCGTTTGTTGTGATTTTGATTCGAGTTGATTCCACGGGAACCGCAATGACAACAGCATAACCATGGCTGCAGACTGAGGGCCTTCAAATCTGATAAGGCAGATCTGAAAGGAAGCTGCTCGTAGGGTTGGTTTCCTGAAATCTCCATACTATTTATACCCAGCTAATCAGGCTCTGCCCTTGAGCCTTGCTGCAGATCTTGTGCGGGGAGGGCTTGCAAGTTCTCTGTTCTCTTTGTTGTTAAGGGCATAGTCTGAAATTACCAAGGAAATCTTGAGTTTAGGATAATTTCAGAAGGATCTGAAGATCTGGTGGAAAAGAATTAATTTACTTCTCCATGAGCCTATCACAATATGTAAAGTTAAGTGTGAATCCTTGTTGAGAAACATCACTGGAAACAGCTGAGTTAAAATCCATTCAGCTTAACAAAAAGCAGATTAAAAAGTCTTTAAGTGACTAGATGGGAAAAATAATTCTTGTAGGAAAAGGCTTTTCAATCTAGTCAACAAGGCTATAACAGGATTCGGCAGCCAGTGGTTGAAAGAGAGGAGAAAAATCAACGCAGAAGATCAACGTGAATTTTTGCCAGAAATGGTAATTAACCATGGCTGCACCAATACTCTTCAGCGTTGCTGAAAGACGTGATAGATAGCCCATTAACTTGAAGTCCCTAATTCTAGACAAAAAGTCTTTTGAAAAGGCGTAGTCCGATTTAACCACAAATTATTGGGCTTAAAGCAGGAACGGCATGAATTTCTGTGGCCAGAAGTACACAGAGGAGTCAGTCAGAGGATTATATAGCTGACCTGTCCTGACCCCGTGGTTTGTTTTCTTTCATGAATTCTACGGCAGGTATCAAGTAGACTTCATGTATATTCTTTTACCTGCTGTGATTAGTCTAGAAAACTTCTGACTAATCTCTCAATTCAAGATTTTTGAGAAGTCCCAGGGAGGACTTATTTTGGGAGCCTCGTTTTTGGGAGGTCTGCATGAAGCCATCCAAGGGGAGGCGAGAAATGCAGACTGGTTTGGCTGAAAATAAGGGTCAAACTTCTCGAAGAAGCACTTGGTCACTCGTCACGTTGGAAAAAACTTTGCATGTGTGGTTTTTCCGGGAATGTCGCAAACATCTGCAAGAGGTTTGGTTTGCTGGAGAGGGGAGTTGGCCGAAGTTGGCTGCTATCTGTAAAAGCTCACTGCACTCAAGTACCTTGCTCTCAGCAAGCAGACAATGAAGAGGAAGATCTCACGAAGCCATTAAAAGGCAGCAGGAACCCTCAGGCTCTGAATATTTTCAGTGTACACGCACAAAACAGGCTCTTAAAAGCATCTGGTTTTAAAAACAACTACAGCAATGAAAAGAAGGATGGAATTTAAATGTTGCCCTTGAATGTACCAGCAAATAGTAGGAGCCCTAAGCAGTAATTGAGTTTGAGAAATATATATATGTAAGTATATATAAAATTTCTTCCTTGTGGTTAACAACTATTTTAGTAGCTAGTAGCCTGAGGTGCCATTGGAATTGCTGCTGTAATAGGGATTTCATTATTTTTATAGCCTGTGCTTATTTCCTAGATTTATGAACAAATTTTCTTTAAGCAGATCCTGCACGCAACATGAAATTGGCTCCTGCTGACAGGAAGAACATGTTGCCGCGCTCTCAGTTATGCGTGGCTTGTAGGTACAGAATAGTTGCAACCTCTGACTATAACTAAAACATCATCTCTCCCTTACAGTGTGGATGCATCTCAACTGGAATAGTCTGGTTCCTGTATATCTCATAGGGCTTTTTTGCTCTGGAGGGGAGGACTGGGTTATGGATCAGTTTGAACACTTGAACATCCATAAATCCATGGGCCCTGATGGGATGCACCCGCGGGTGCTGAGGGAGCTGGCAGAAGTCATTGCTAGGCCCCTCTCCATCATCTTTGGTAAGTCATGGACAGCAGGTGAGGTGCCTGAAGACTGGAGGAAAGCAAATGTCACTCCAGTTTATAAGAAGGGCAGGAAGGATGACCTGGGTAACTACAGATCGGTCAGCCTCATCTCCATCCCTGGAAAGGTGATGGAACATCTTATCCTTGGCACTGTCTCTGGGTATATCAAGGATAAGAAGGTTATTAGGAGCAGTCAGCATGGCTTTGCCAAGGGGAAGTCACATTTGACCAGCCTGATAACCTGTTATGAAGACATAACCAGGCGGTTGGATGGTGGCCATGCAGTGGATGTGGTCTGACTGGATATCAGCACGGCATTTGACACCTTCTCCCACAGCATCCTCATGGGTGAACTGAGGCAGTGTGGTCTGGATGACCAAGTAGTGAGGTGGGTCGGGAACTGGTTGAAGGGAAGAAGTCAGAGAGTTGTGGGCCATGGAGCAGAGTCCAGCTGGGGGCCTGTGTCTAGTG